TAAGTAGAACCAGAACCATGGATGTGTACCTGGATGCTACAAAATCTACAATACTCAATAAAGTAGACAAATGATGGACAGGTTTAATACAAAATATCAAATTTTCCCATATTTTAGAAACTTTATATATATATATATATATATATATATATATATATATATATATATATATTAGGAAAAGTTGTTCTTTATATAATAAAGATATCATAAATTATGTCAATCCAATCAACATTCAACCGTTAATTTCTTTTTTTTAAAGTGTTTTTGGGGCTTTTTATTGCCTTTATGATAGAGACAGCTGAAGATAGACAGGAAAGGGGGGGAGAGAGAGGGGATGACATGCAGCAAAGGGCCGCAGGTCGGATTCGAACCCTGGGCGCTGCAGCAAGGACTGAGCCTCAGTACATGGGTCACCAGCTCTACCCACTGAGGCGCCGGGCGCCCTCAACTGTTAATTTCTACTAACAGAGTTTGTGCCTACAACACAAACCAGATTATATGAAAATAATTTGCTTCAGATGAGCCACATCACAAGCACATGCAGCTGGACGATTTGGTGTAATGAGTGTTTTGAACAGGAGTAATGAAGAACCTTCACCTCTCACTCTTTATAAAGGATATATTCAGAGTTTGTACTCACATGGCATATTCACAGTGAAAAAGTTAATGGAGGCTGTAATAGTTCGTCCATACTGGCCGTGAAGTGATCCCTTTCTTCTCTAGTCATGGTCATGTGCAAAAATGCATTTCAAAGTTTAGTCAAAGTTAATATGAGGCTTCAACATTCTGAGTTAACCAAATCCAATGAATATCTGCCAAAGATACAATCTTTGTAGCAGTCAAAGAAAAGCATTTCCACTTTTTGTTTCCACGGACTGTGTTTCCTTTCTGAGCCACAGCGGAGGGATACTTAACTTGTAGTTTTGTTTCTGGCTGTTTCACAGCAGTGGCAAAAAGATATCCACATGATTTGTCTACCGCTAAAGCCTCATATTAACTTCAGCTGAGCTGTAGAAAGCATTTCTGCATGGAACAAGGACTGTGGATTTTGTTTTACTGCATCTTTTACAGTAGAATTGTGCCAGGAATTGACCAGTGTGGATAGGAGGAATGAAACAGCAACCTTGAAAATAATCTAAACTTATGGTTTAAATAATGCCTCTTGTACCATGAGAGCCCAGTAACCTTGTTTTCTTTCTGTTGTTTGGTTGCTATGGCTGATACAAGCAGTTAATCAACAGGAAATAAACTTTTGCTGTGTGCAACTTTGTATGTATAAGCAGTGTGTAGATTGTTGTGGATATCTCTGCAGATACTTTGTGTAGATTAGTTTATTTTTGTTCATATCTTTGTTGGTTGTGAAGGAAAAACAACTTTGTTATTGCACAATAAGTCTTACAAACTCTGTCACTGTCCTCTTCCAACAGATCCTGCAGTACCAATCTCAGCAGTCGTACCAGAACAAGGTTGTGCCATCAGTGGCTGTGCTGTTTGTGTATGTGGAGCGTGCCCATTATCTGCCGGTGAGATCATACCCATGAGTCCTGGGGTGCTATTTGTTGTTTATTGTGATGTTCTTTTCCTTGCCCAAAGATTGCAGAAGTACAAAAGTTGCTTTTAGTGTCAGTTTATTGCATAAAACTCTGCAGTGTTGCAATACAGATGCATGTTCTTTTATACATTAAATCGCTGGTGGTGTAATGTGTTGATTACAGAGGTTTTATTGGAATATTCTTTGTGTCTGATTTCAGTTGAAGAAGAGTGGAAAGGAGCCAAAAGTCGGGGCTGAAATTATCCTCAAAAACGTTTCACACAAGACCAAGGTAGGATTGTGATGTCTTACATGAGCTCGTGAAAAAAAAAAAGAAAAGAAAAGTGCAGAAAAGTTATTACATTTTCTCGTTGATTCCTTCTCAAGATTTGTGAGCGTTCCACATCCCCTCAATGGGACGAAGCCTTTCACTTTTTGGTTCGCGACCCCAGAGATGAAACACTCACAATGAAGGTGAGAGTCATTAACAGCATCTGTATTTCCACTTTTTATGAATTCATGCAGTTGTATTATATATTTATATGTTTCTCTATGTTTGTATCTAGCTCTCCCACAGCTGGGGCCAGGCCCTCGGGTCCTTGACACTTCCTCTCAGAGAGGTGCTGTTTGAGCCAGGCTTGGTGCTGGACCGCTGGGTTAATCTGGATGGAGCACTGCCAGAAAGCCAGATACTACTGAGGGTCATGCTCAAGGTACTGACAATATACCCTGCTTATTTTCTCTACACTGTCACTATATTGCAGTATGTGGCCATATGAGTAATGTTTAATTCTGTACTGTATCAGCTCATCATGTAAGGTATGTCAAAGGTTAAAGGTTTCCCTGGATAGAACCAATATTCCATTGCAGTGAATACTGTACTTTAAAGCGTCCTGTAAGTCTTACTCCACAGAAAGTCTGTAGAATTATTCAGACGTGAGGTAAAATATTATCATGCTATTAAGCTATGATTTCTATTTCCGTATGTTTTGCAGATCTTGGACACTCAGCTGGCGGTGTGTCGTAAGGGGGATGCAGGTAGTGACGTCAGTGGAGAAGAAGTCCTTCCCAGATGGGTTCCTTCCCATCTAGACCTCAGACAGAGAAGTGCATTCTCCATGTGAGTCGCACACTAGCATCAGTGCCCTACTGTGTACTCACAGCCTCCACTGTCAAGATAGTAGTTATCAGGGCTTCCTTTGGTGAACTGTTTTCCAGTTTTTTTTAGCGTGAAGTATTCAAATAATGAAATTTTCCACATTGTGTCTTCAGAGCTGGTGATAACACAAACACAGCAGGCCAGGTGAAGCTTACCGTCGGCTACTCCGCAGAGGAGAACAGGCTCTTCATCACTGTACACTCCTGCAGGTCTCTATATGACGTTACGTTACCTCTTTACCTCTTTCTTTATCTGTTTACTTCGCTATCAGCTCATGATGTGACTGTGATTGCTGTATACCCACAGAGCCCTGGCAGCCTGCTCCAAGGACGGTGCCGACCCGTATGTTTCCTTCATCCTGCTGCCTGACAAGAAGGCTACCACCAAGAGGAGAACTGCCACCAAGAAGAGAGATCTCAACCCAGAATTCAACGAGAGGTAAGACAAACAAACCAGACACTCATGATAGTGAAGGAAGCGCAAGGATGTTAACTCACCCACCTTTCTCTCTCTCTTTCTCTCTTTAGGTTTGACTTTGATTTCTCTCTGGAGGAGTCCATTCAGAGAAGACTGGACCTGTCTGTGAAGAACAGCGTGTCCTTCATGAGCAGAGAGAGGGAGCTTATCGGCAAGGTAAATATAATTCCATTATTGCCATTAACATCACATAAATTCCTTAGTGACGATGTAGTGATTATGACCAGACACCAGAGATATAGAAATGTGGAATATCATCTTTTATGCTTTGTTGCCCTCAGTTGCAGCTGGACCTGGACCAAATTGACCTCAAGGCTGGTGTCACTCAATGGTAATAATTTCAGTTAATAAAACAGCTACTGAATAATATTGTGTAACAGTAGAGTTGTATCCACCAATGTATGTTCAAATATTACTTATTTCAAAATCATATAAACAACAGATCGTATGCTTTTTTTTCCAGGTACGATTTGGTAGCAGAGACCAACTAGAAGAATCTTCAAGTACTATTTAACTTTAAATGTTGCTTCTGTGAGCTGTGATTTGTGTGTTTTGTATATTCGGCTTCAATGAAAATTTCCACCATCACTGAAGAAAAAAATCATATCTGCTCCACAAAAACAGTCCATCAGTATTTATGAGAAGAAACTTTACATGTAGCTTATCATCCGTAAAGTGTTAACTGTGCTGAATCCACGCTGTCTTGGACAGATTCTTCAGTAGAATATTTTGGCTGAATAGATATTTGATAATAATGCAACTATGTTGCAAAACCTACCAAGTTTATATGTGTTCAAAAGCAGTCCTCTTTGAATTTTGTTTACAAAAGGGCTTTTGCTGTGGTTAATGTCCTAAGGTATGACAATGTTTTATTACAGCATCCAACACAGAGATTCCTTTAAATTTAATTTTTTACAATCTTCAAATCATTTCTATTACTTTGTTTATATACGTTTATATTATTGCCTTAAGTATTACAAAACTGTGCACAATTTGTCAGTGTTTATAAATTATGTTCCAAATGAAGTTTTATATGTTTTAACCAGAACTCTCTTAAAGTTGCTTTTATAAATCAAAGTATTACAAACCTAGACCCTCATATTTACCACTGAAAACAGAGGTATAATACTGTAAGCAGAGTCTAAATCACTGTGCTTTTGAAGAGAAAACTTTGTAGATATTGAAAACACATCGCTGGTGTTCTTCTTACGCCCATGCTTCCTTGTGTTTGTATGTGTTCGTAGCACTAAGTGCAACAGGCTGAAGCTGTCGACCATGTTTAGACTTTATTTTTCAAGCAAAAAGTTACGACCTTATGAGAAGCAAGCAAATATTGTACGCCAGCAGTGGGACAACTTCCCATGTACCACCACTGTCACCACAAAGGTTTGGACACTGATTTGTGGTAATGGAAAGAAAATAGTGTTTTAAGTGTCAGAACTGAAGAAGAAAACTGCTGAACTTTGACATTATTTGAAACATATCATCATGTATCTGCTGAAGTTGTTGATTAAAGTTTGCACTCTCACGAATCAAGCCAGTTTTGTGACTTTATTTATGTGTTTTTCTTAAACTTTACAACATTACTTTCTAAAGGTTTTAATGATGGGATGTCATACTCAAATCTTGCCTCCAGGTAGCGATAAAGTGCTGACAAAGCCTTGCGTTTCCGTCCAGCTGTATGTAGGCTCACTGCTTACAGATGTCAGGGGGCAGGGTTAACAGAAGAGGAGGTGATTGACAGACAGGTCTTTAAGCCAACGGGAGCGCCGCCTCCCCCCCAGCTAGGGGCGGGGCTAGATAAGAAAACCTGCCCTCTGAGTGGAGGCAACAGCAAAGACCTTAATCAGGATCACACAACAATAATGAATGGAAACACGTCGTAGCCAAGAAAGTTGAGCAGCAACTAAAAGTAACTGTTTGTTGGCATTTGAAATTTACCTATCGCAGGGGGGAAATCACCTGTAAGTAATGGATTGGCCGGGGAAATTAGAAAGTACTTTCTGGAGAAGAAAGCTGCTGTACTTTTATTGTTACTTTTGAAAGTAAGTTTTGAAGGGAAACTACAGTGGAGCACACTGTAAACCTAAAACGCGTGAGTAAGTGAGTGTAAATGGCATTTTGGGACATTGATACGAGACTACTGCGCTGTCAGCTGTTCATCTGGAAAAGTGGATTCTTTGGATCAATCCGTTAATGATATTGTTGGAATATTTGGAAGGTTCTTTTTAATTTTTTTTTACTTGGGATTTATCATCACTGAAAGAAGCTGGGGGGAAAATGGGTAATATAGAGAGTGTGGACGGCCAGTCGGAGATGAAGCATCACATCATGCCTCTGAAGGTGCCCATGCCTGACCCCACGGAGCTGGAGGAGAAATTTGCCATTGTTTTGGTAAGTTCGTGGTCTAAATGTCACAGAGATATGTATAACAACTTTCTAAATGTTTAATTTGAACTTAAGTTGATTTTGATTCAAATTCAAATAGCGCCAGAATAAACATACCCAATAATGGAGTTGTTGTTTCTGGAACAAAAGAGTTAGTCTCTTTTGTTTTTATAACTTACATTAAATTGAATGTGTCTCGTCCATTATGAGCTGCTAAATATTCTCAATGGACCGACCTGTGCTGCTGTCCCGCCCCTCATTCTCTGCCTGCTGTCCCCCCTCTCCTGCGGTTCTTTTGTCTCCCCTAAAGTCAGACAACTCAGCGTTTGGCTGAAGTGGCAAACTGAGCACAGCATGGTGAGACTGGCGGGGGGGGGCATACATTATACTGTACATCCTTGACAGAGCACACATCACGGCATTGGGTTTATTTAAACGTTTTCTCGCTGCAGGCTAATGTCATCTGAAAACAACATTTTCTGAATTCCCCCAAAACTCCCACACCCGATGAGTCTCTCCCCTCCCCTCCCCTCCCTCCCTCCCTCCACGCTCCACATCAGGCTGGAGTTGAGCTGTCTGAGCGCTTTGTAATAATGAGCACACAGTCAACACCCACTTTTACCAGCTATCAACACAGTCAAGTGACTCTGTCATCCCACGTCAAGGGGACATTTCTTTTACAAGAGAAGGGACTTTACAGATTTGCACTTTTTTTCGGGAACAATCATGTGGAGTTCTGCTCAGAATAGTTATTCTGTGTCAGGCTGTTATTATTCATGATAAAAGTCCTATCTGATCTATAACACTACAGGAGCTGTAATGATAAGTCAGTCTGCGCAAAATTAATAACAAAAGCAACTGTTTTGTTAATCTATTAATCATTTAACTCACATTTAAAACAAAAATACCAGAGGTTGTTTGGTTCCAGTGAAGTGATTTTCCTTTGTGACAGTAAACTGAATGTTTTTCTTTCTCTTGGATGTTGTTTGAAGATGTCACCTTGTGTTTTAAAACTTGTGATGAGAATTTTTCATTATTGTCATTTTAATGTTATTATTTTATAGAAAGTTTATAGAAGTATTGTATTCAAGTACTTCTGTGAAGGCATGAATTACAGAGTAGCCTGTAGCAGTGGTGCAATCTGGGAGTCGAGTCAAGATAAACTTCTAAAAATCTGTTAAACGTTTTAGAATTTTTCTCAAAATAGCTTTTTTTCCCTTGTAGGTTACAATTACAACACAGTTCATACAGATCAAACACTCTGTTACCTAGAATAAGTTGTTTTGATCTACAGAGGGAGCAGGTCCTCTTCCACAGAGGCCACCTCGTTAAACCGCCACCTTTCTACAGTAGCCCAGAATGGACAAACCAAACACTGGCTCTCTAAATCCTACACACTAGTCCTTTAAGACAAAATGTCATTAGTTTCTGGCTGAGAGTTAGAGGAGAAGACAGAACTCCCATATCTGTCCTGTAAGACTACAGCTAGTAGCTGGTTAGCTTAGCTTAGCATGAAGACTTAAAACAGGTGGCAAGAACTGGCCTGGCTCTAACTCACAAATTAACACGTTACATCTCTTTGCTTTTTTATCTGTTCAAAAACCTGTGTTGTGAAGTAGACAACGCTTCATTTTAGAACTAGAGAACCGGACTGGATAGTGATAGATGGTGAGTGACTGTACTTGTGTAAATAGTGGTCGATGCCACATTGGTCGTTTCACAATGCCTGGTAGAATTGGTATAATATCCTTTGAAAGAGCTACTTTTTTTTTTTTTTTACATTTAGTTACGTAACGTTTTAGTCATGAAACATCACCGCAACTTGCACCACAGTCGTCTCTTACAGTTTCCACCGCCACAGAACCAGACAGGCATAACGTGCATAAAGACACAATTCAGAAAAGATTTTAATGTAGAGAATACGCTACCTGTTTATTTTTTGTTCCTCACAGGTGCTTATTTTGTGCTCCCCACGCCACATTTCAACATAACCCCACCCGGCTTTGATTTTCAGCTGTTTAAGACCTTAATTGCAGCATCAAGCAGCAAAGAGCTTCACAGCATTAGTCTCATTCTTGCACACTTTGTGGAGGCTCTGTGTTTCTGGAATAAAGCCATTATTTGCTTGGTGGAGCAGCTACAGAGGAAAGCTCTCATATGAAGAGACTAGCACAGCAAGAAGCCATTCAAGGCCGGCTTGTTAACTGCTGTGCCTCAAAGTCTCAGCTAGTGTGACACTTACACACTGTACTAAACTGTTAAGATCTATCATGACAGCTCAAGTTGTGTCTCTGTCACGTAGATGACTAGTTGGACATTTTATATAAATGTAAGGTTTTCCATGTGACTGATGGGTACTGATTTGTAGCCGTCATATTTCCCGTAAAGGGGAGAAAAAAAATCAACATTTATCCTGCCTGGAGACTGGAACAGTCTGCAGTTGCTTGACTGCCCTGCAACGCAAAGTAAATCCCTGTTATTATGTTCAGCCGTGCAGAGCAGATGATTTCTATGCAAGAGGCAGTAGACTCAACATTTCAGTTGTGTTTTTGACAGGGAGAAGTTTTCAAGCTCTCTGACCCCACCCCACCCTACCCCATAGTAGCTCCAGATTTCCTTTACTTTGTGGGAAAGGATAACATGCTTGTATATATTAGTGTTCTTATCAGACAATGGTCCTCTCTCCGCCCTGCTTGCCCCTTGTTGCGAGATAAAGGCACTTCAAAAGCTTCTGTCTTCATGTTTGGGGTTCCTTTGGAAGTCAAGGCCATGGATCTGATCTTCTTCCAAAGTATCATATATATTTGAAATAGTCTGAGAGGTTTCTAAATTTAGCAGGGGTTGTTCTAATAGCAGAGACATAATTGTTTTTTTTCAGCCTCAAAACACACTTCCCGTAAATGATATTTGCATTTTGGTGGTATATGCGTATAAGTGTAATTTCCCCTCCTTTGGACCACTGTTTCCTCCTCCACGGTGCATGCTACTGTAAACGGATGTGTCTGCATCTGCATGGCGGGACTAAACCTCTCCTCTCAGACACTGCTCACAGACGTCCCACTGGACTGACAGCAGCCCATAATGATGTCATGGGTGCTGCAGCCTTCGCCAGTGTAGTAATATCCCTGGGCTAATGACTTTAACAGGGCAGCTCTACTGTAGATGGTTGAGGGGAGTGGAGGAGGGGTGAGACCCCTGGGTTAGCTTCGACTGCTTCATGCGGTCTGCTAATAAAATGCCTGGATCAGGTCTAACCGGCAGCATGTGCTAAAGGCATCGTCTCCTTCGTGTCTCTTTTGTCAGAAACAGCCTCAGCTCTGTTTTTTGTGGCTGGAAACAGCTGCCTGCCATTTTCCTTTCTTCGATTTACAGAGGAAATTGCATTGTAGCCAATGGATATTGTGGTTGGTTTGCTTTACAATAAGAACTGTGTTCCTGCAGGCTGCTACAGGGTGCATAACATGTCATAGATTTACAGATATTTCTCACAGACAGAGGACATATCTATTATTCTGTTATCTGTCATTTTGTTGATCTGCTCTTTTCACCCCTCTCTTTGTCTGACTCTTACTTGTCTTTGGTTTTGTGTGATTCCAAATGGAAGTGGAACCTCTCATTCACTCCCCCAGTCAGCGATTCCTACCTTCCCATTCCCAGAATTCACTCTCACTGTGGTTCTGTCCTACAAAATAACCTCCTCCATATGACTCTGTCCTTATGAAAATGATGTGAGATGAGTGAGTGGCATTTTCAGAGGTGAAAGTCTGGCCTGTGATCCTCTTTCAAAGTGCCCGAGCACCAATCCACTGCTGGATTCCTGCGGTCTAGTCTAGGCTGAGGCCACAGGAGAACTCAGAGAGGGAAAATTCCCTTTGAACTGGCGGTCTGCCACTGTTCTTGGTTGTAATGACTTTACCAACATTTTCAAACAGCGCACACATATTTAAGAGCTGTTACAGGAGCAGCATGGGATTATTTTCACCACTTGATTGCGCTGGAAACCATCCCAACCGATTTGTCTGACTCTGCTCAACTCCCCACATCTTTTATATTCTGACATGGAGTTGCATCATGCGTATAGATGTGCCATTGCAGCTTTTCTTTTGAGGTTTGATTGTTCAAGAGGGATATCTCACCATTAATGTTGTGCAAATGTTGGAAAAGTAAGTCAGTGGAAGTGAAATCAGACATGCTGACTGTGTGACTCTAACATCTTGTCTGACATCACTGTTTCTTGATGGCTAAAGTCTAAAGAAAGCTGCAGTGTCTGATAGATGCCACTTAAGTGGAACTAATGGAGTCAAGCTGTGCGATGTGTTTTTTAGCCGTAAAAACCTAAATCATTTTTATTTGTTTAATGACGGTTGCAGTTTATTTATGTGACTTGTGTGTCTACCACTCCCTTTCTCACACACATCATCGCCACCATTGCTCATTTCTAAAAGGAGAAAATGTGTTTGTTACGTCACTTAAGTTGGAAGAGTGTGTACATCTGGCTCAGCCACCCACCACTATGTCCCGGGAAGAGGGGGATTATGGGAGTTGAGTACACACAGTTAACTTGGTTTTAGAGCAGCAGAGCAGGCAGGGTGGGAGGGGGGTTCAGCACAAGGCTGCCCACCTGGCTCTCTCCACCCTCGGGCTACAATTCCCCCAATCCGGGCCAGGCTTTATGGGGAGTTTTAGTGCTTCTCTGCGTCTCTCCTTGCAGTTATTTTGGAAAGCAAAGGTCAAGTTACAGACCATGACTGAGCAGATATAACATGTCCATATAGGTTTTATTGAATTAGAATTAGATAAGAAGATCAATGCCAGTCTCATGTCTTTATGGTAAATAGGAAGCTATAGCCAGCAGCCAATTAGCTTAGCTTAGCATAACTACTGGAACCAGCTAACTTGGCTCTGTACAAAAAACTACCAGCACCTCCAACTAATCACTATCGCTCACTGGTTAACACAACAAAACAAAGTGTAAAAATGAGAAGTTGTGGTTGGACAAAGCCAGG